GATGACCAATGCCACACAATGGTGTTCATGGCTGCTCAGACTCACCTGCAGCGAACTGGCCATCCCAGAGTGCAGTAGCAGCAAGCGGTCCAGCGTGCCCTCACCTAGCTCCCGGAAATATAGCTGGTACTGTCTCTCTAGGGCCTCTGGTACCTGGATGCCACTGTCTGTGGAGTAAGGAAAGCAGGGGTTAGAGCGCGGTCAGGTTGTGCCCCCTCCCCATTTTTGTTTTTTTTTTTATTTACTAGGCAAATGACCATCACTTGTTAAAAAGACAGTACCATTGCTTTGAGGAGGCAAGAACTCCTACCTCATTGAAGAGGTTTTAGTGTATTCTCCTATGGTTTCATCTATTTTTAATTAAAAAATTATTTTTTCAACACTGGAGTTTGAACCTACACATGCTAAACAAGTGGTCTGCTACTAAGCTATACCCACAATCCAAACTTAAAATTTGTCTGTTGTTTATGTATTGCCTTTGAATCATAAAATGTTATTAATGATTCTAATAAGGGACAGATAAAATTTTAGATAAAAGTTAAAGAACCATTCTTTAAACTCCAAAAGAATTGAAAACAAGGTAAAAACAAACAAACAAACAAAAAATACCGGCCAGGCCAGATGGCTGATGCCTATAATCCCAGCAACACTTAGGAAGCTGAAGCAGGAGGATCGCCACCTGGGTTACATAGTGAGTTCAAGGCCAGTCTGAATTACATAGCAAAGACTGTCTGGAAAACAACCAACAAGCAAAATTTGTCCACAAATGTTCTTAGCAACATTATTCAAAATCACCAAAAGACAGAAGCACTCCAGATGCACCTGAACAGACCAACAGAGAGCAAAATGGTCAATGCACACAGCAGAGTTGCAATTCAGCCATGAAAAGGTGTGATATTCCCACGCAGGCTATGACATGAAGGAATCTAAAAAATATTACACTAAGCGAAAGAAGTCAAGCACAAAAGATCATGCACCGAGTGGCTCCATTTTTGTGAAGCATCCAGGACAGGTAAATTCGAGAGGCAGAATGTGCCCTGGGGGCTCCCAGGACCTGGGGTGGGGACAGTGCGGAGGCTCTGTGAGTGGGGCAGAGCATCTGGGTCACTGGGGTGCTGCAGGACCAGACACAGGAGGTGGCTGACTGTGGTGGGGAGACATGAAATGCCACAGAGTCGGTCACTTTGAAATATATAAAGTGGTGAATTTTGTGTTATATAATTTTAATATGTTTTATTAGTGCTTATTTATCTTACAGACTATTCGGTTTCAATGTGGTAATTTCCTACATGCATATGACATGTTTTGATTATAACCACTCCCCCATTAGTGTCCCTCACGCCCCTCCACCACTCTCCTTATTCCCTTCCTCTTGTCTAAGAGTAGTCTTCCTTCTACTTTCAGGCCAGTGCTCT